CAAATTCTTTTTCAAGTGAGGTTAGTTTCTAGTGAATTATCCTGGATGGTAGAGGTAAGGAGGCTCAGATCTAAACTGTACTTGTAAAGTACTTCCAGTACTAGGGAGGGCTCACAGAAGGAACATTCCTGTTAAGACAGTATAGAAATCAAATTCTAAACAAATCTCATGGCCAAGAGCAAAGCAGAGCAGCAGCGGCCAATGGCCTCTCCACTTTCCTTTCTCTTCCTCACACCCTTACCAAGCTCTTACCTCCTCAAGGCCAAACCTCAGCCAAAAGGCAGCCCAAGAAAGGGTCTGCTTTGGGGTTAAACAAAAGTCACTTGACAAGCTCAGGTCACCTGACAGCATTTTTCCCCTCTGGAGACACATTCTGACCTATTTTTAATTCCATGTAAAAGGTCATCAAGCAGGGAGAAAAAAAGAGACAGTGGCACTTTCCCCTCCTCTGGACAGCAGTCCCAGCAGAGGTTCCTAACACATGAGGTGTACTATCGGGAAGGAAGACAAGGCCCAGGGCAGTAAGTTCTAGCAGGGATCTCTCTAAGAAAGGAAAGAGTTTCCCTGAACCAAGTCAAGCTCTGTGCCCTTAGCTAAACAGTAAGGCCTAATCACCAAAGATAACCAAATCAAGAACCTGGAAAGCCAGGCCTGGTGGTACAAGCCTGGAATCCCAGCACTTGGGAGGTAAAGGCAGGATAATCAAGAGTTCAAGGTCATCCTAGGCGACATGGTAAGTTTGGGGATAACCTGGGAAACACAAAACCCTGTCTCAAAACAAAACAACAAAAAGGACACGGACACACGGACACACACACACACACACACACACACACACACACACACACACACACACACGGCTGGAGAGATGGTTCAGCAGTTAAGAGCACTGGCTGCTCTTCCAGAGGACCTGGGTTCAAGCCTCAGCACCCACAAGGCAGCTCAAAACTGTCTGGAACTCCAGTTTCAGGGGACCCGAAACTTGCCATGGCAAAACACTAATACATATAAAATTTAAATTGAAACCAAAAACAGGGAAAAAAAGCCACCCCCCCAACCCTGCAATGCACACCATGCCACAGCACTTTCTATAGTGGTGTTCCCATCTGTTGAATTGAAGCACACGGATATAAAATGTCTTTTCCAGGCAGCGAACACTAGCTATCCCAAGGCAGAAATGAAATTCAATAAACATTATGAAGTGCCTTTGGAAGCATAAGCCACCGGGTTCCCCAGGCCACTCAGTTACAAGAATGCTGAACTACAAAGAAAATGTGGAGAACCAGCAAGTTCAAAAGCAGGCCAAACCCTGATCTGGACTAAGTTGGCAACAAGTACCTGAATTCATTCAGCAGAAAATGAACTTTCCTCAATGGGCCACAATCAGTGTTACAAGCATTTGGAAAAAGAAATGAGGCATGAATAGTTGTGTGAGACGAGGGTCTCTAATACCTGGCACACCCTGATCCACAGAGAAGAAGGCCAGTGTGAGCAGCTGCTCTTCCCTGGGCAGGGCTGACTCCTCAGCACACAAGAAGCTCAAAAGTTGACTGTTGAGAGGAACCTCAACTTATCTGGTCCCAGACCTAATGCCAGGAAGCACTACTCTCAGGAACCTAGTGAGCACAAAAACCCACTGGCCCCACCCAGACAAGCAGACAGCCTGGGGACAGCAGGGGACTTCATTTCTACATTGTCCCCAAATGCTAGTGTCCAAAAATGGACTCTGGTAGGCCTCATGTAGTTGTATTTGCTACAATTACTGCCCCCAACACCACCCTCACGTGCTTGTGCCTCCAAGGACAAGAGAGCCTGGCTGGCTGCTGATGAGGCCAGACAACTAAACCATCTCCAGCAGCAGCAGCAGCTTCAAAGCAGAATTTGAGGAAGAGCAGTACCTGGGGACTGAACCCGGAGTCTTAGCCAGCTCTATCCTCTGTACTGGGTACCTAGTGAGACAATGGAGCCAGTTTAAAGCTGGGTGTCTAAATGCAAGAAGCCATCTGCACAATGACCTTACCACATCATTATCTCATGAGGCAAAGTCCACCAACTGTCTAGTTTCCCCAGAGACTCCTTCCTCTCTGCCCACAATCATGAAGAAAGAGGAACGGTCCATAACGGAGGCAGTAACGACCTGCTGCTACAAAGTCTGGCCTTGGCTGCCACAACTTGGAGCTCTGACTCAGCTGAAACCTGCCTGGTTCCTGGGACCTACATGCCAGGGCTAAACAAATTCCAGGACACAGAACTTCAGAAAGTAGCCCCATGTGCCAAGACCCTCACATGTATGAAAGCAGCAAATTCTGGCTTGTTTTATTAAACAAGCTCTCCCAATGTTGCCCTGGATTTCTGGATGACCTGGAACTCCCTACGTAAACCAGGCTGGCCTTCAACTCTCAGGGATCCGCCTGCCGCTGCCTCCCAAGTGCTGGGATTACAGGCAGGAGCCACCACACCTGCCTAATACACTCTTAACTATCAGACACAGAAATGGGGAGAAACTAAGTTGAACCCTTGAGTAAAGTCAAGAGCCACATGTGGACATTGTGGAATAGGAAACTGTCTCCTAGTTGTCCAGATAGGCACATCACCAATTTGGTAGCCTCTGCACCCAGCATAGAGCATCCATTTTCCAGAACATGACACAAGGAAATTCCCCACCCCCTTTTTTAAACTTTTTAAAAAGCTTTACGGGTATGGTTGTTTTGTCTGCATGTATGTCCGTGTACCATATGTGCGCCTGGTGACCACAAAGGTCAGAAGGAAGCCCTGGATCCCTGGAACTGGAGTTATAGGCAGCCATGCACCATTGTCTGGGTGCTGGGAATCAAACCCGGGTCCTCTGGAAAAGCAATCAGTGCTCCTAACCGCTAAGCCATCTCTCCAGGCACCGGAATTGCCTTCTTAAACCTGTTTTTTCAATCCTACTTATAGAAAAATCTAGAGCAGGTATCTCCAAAGAACGGGTTGGGGTGACCTATAACAGGAGCGCCTGCTGCACAAATCTGAGCCCCTGCTAGTTAACAGATAAAAGTTTGTCTATTGGGTCTAGAGCCGGGGCCCAGGGACCTGTATTTTTAACCACCTGCCCTAGCAATTCTCAATCTGCCACTAACTGTGAAAACCACTGTTGCTTCATCGGTTAAGTCTCGACCACGTCGTCCCCCCTCCCCCCAAGCAGCAATCATACTTCTTAGGATCGCCTGGAGGGGGGCACTGGAACATTCAAATCTTACATAGGTTGACCTGGCGCACACACCACCATCTGCCTCACGCGCAGGGCAGGTTTCCATCTACCAACACCCGACGGGTGGCTTTTACTTTTAAGCACACCAAAGGAAGGCAGAGGAGGATGTCACAATCAAACTTTCCCGGACCATCCCCTTCGAAAAGAGGCCCTGCTATTCTGTCTTAAGAATCAAGCCCCACTCTTGGGGAGAAAAGGCACGGAAAGCGGCCGACTTAGGGGCTGGGGCGAGAATCGACCAGTAATCGCAGCGATAGTGAAGCTGTGGAATCGATGACCTACAACCTGCGGGGCCTCCAGGTGCCGGGCCCAAAAGGCCACTCTCTCGTCTTTACTGTCCCAGCTTGGGTGGCACGAGAGGCTGAGAACATGCTGGATGAGAGAGATCTAAATATAACTTCTCGCCAACTCTCTGCCTCGATGGCTCTCGGTAGCTTCGCGCCGGGGGCTAGGCCCTGGGCTCCGGCCAGGTCCCTTGTGGGGGAGCCACTGCAGAGAGAAACTTCGCTCCGGGGAGGATGTGGTGCCACGGTCGAGAGGAAGGGGCTCGGGGGAGGAGGGGTTGTCCCCTCGGCGGCGCCCCTGCTCGCAGGCCCCGGGTCCCACGGCTCGGCCGAGGGGCTCTCACCTCGGCCCACCCGGCCTTCCAGAGGGTCCTTGCGGAAGTGGATCCCGTGCACGTCCACATGCGCTTCGCCGCCCGCGTTGACGGCCCCAAATGACGCTCTCCGGCAGCCCGGCCCCAGCCGCTCCGACCACGCCGAGCCCCGGATCCCGGAGCTCGGGCAACAGCAGCAGCAGCAGCAGCAGTCGTCGGAGAAGCGCCACCGCGGCTGCATCGGCTGCCCGGGGCCCCAGCATGGCGGCCACCACGGCGGGGGCAGCCCCTGCCGCCGACCCTCGTCCTCGGCCGGACGCCAGGCCGCCCCCGACTCAGTAAAACAGCGCCACGGACCGTTCTGCCTCGGCAACCCGGGACATGTCGCTCTCGGGCCTCCTCCTCCGCCGCGGGTGCCGCCTCCCACCTCGGGAACAACCTACCCCGGCCGCCCGGCCCTCCGCCTGGACGCCCCAGCCAATCAGAGCGCGGCCCTCATTAATTACCCACCACCCCGCCGAGAGCGGCCCCCCTATTGGCTGTGGTGCTGGGAGAGGGGCGTGGCCGCGCCCCGGCGCCGGCCCAACCACCGGGCACGAGAAGGAGCGCGCGCGGAGGGAGGGAGTTCGGTTGAAGCGGCGGTTCCATGCGGAAGTGGCGGGTGCAGCGCCCAGGCCGCCCCGGAATCCCACACCAGACTAGGAAAGGTGGCCTGGGGCGGGGAAGGCTTAAAGAAGGGCGCACTGACACGTCGCCAGCACTTCCGGTGCTCTAGATCTGGGGACCGAGTCGGCTCTGAAGGGGGCGTTGCCGTCTCCTCCATCACCCTCTTTTTTTCCCCCCCCTCCGGAAGGCGGGAGCACGGACTCTAGCAGGAGAAGCAGTGTATTTTCCCCCTGCCTCGCCCCCCCCCCGTGTGAGGCAGAGGGGCCAGGCTGTCCCCGGGCTGCCACATGGACAGGTGTCAGGACACGCGTCCCACGAGGATCAGGTCCCGCCCTCAACCCCCTTAGCCGGCGCGTGGTGTGTGGTAGCGTCCACGGGGCCGCCCAATCAGAAGGCTCCAACGCAGCGGAAACGCGTGGCCGGCTAGGGGCGGGGCTCCAGGCTGCCTGCGTCTCCATGGCGACGGTGTCTGGCAGGCCTGAGAACCTGGGGAGTGAGTGGCGCTCGGGCTTCCTCCTCCCTCCCCTGCTGGGGCGAGGGATCGTGGGTGGCGACCGCCGTGCGGGCGCGACCCGAGCTCCCCAGCGCTTCTCTGCAGCAGCCTCCCTGCCCTTGAGTGTCCGCCCGCACTCCCGTGTTCACTCCGGGCAAACGGGCCGAGAGAGAGTCTTGGGTTTCACCGCAAGTTTCCGATACGGCCAAGTGGAGGAAGTTCATCATTTGTTCCATGGACGCTTACCCTCTCCCTACTACTAGGGCTGTCAGCTCGTGCCGACAAAAATAGAGGAAGCCCGGTTAAATTTGATTGTTGTGCTTCAGAAAGAGAAGGAACATGTATTAAACCGTTCTTCTGGGCGTGGAGACACCAGGTGACACATTTCCTGCATCCCCAGTACTCGTACTCAGGAGGTTGAAACAGGAGGATTACCATGAGTTTAAAGACCAGCTTGGGCTACAGGGTGTGAGCTTGTCTCAAAATTAAGCAGGGGGTTGGAGAGGTGGTTTACCGGTGGAGAGCACTAGCTGCTCTCGCAGAGAATCTGGGTACAATTCCCCGAACCCATATATGCCTGCTAACCCAGTTCCAAGGGATGGGGCCTCGCTCTCTTCTGACCATTTTTTTACCGTATGCCCATGGTGCACACACAAAAAGGTATTAAAACCCCTGCTTGGGCTTGCCAAGCCCCAGGTCAAACTTTTCCTTAAACTCCCCAGCACCCTCTCAAGACAGGTGACCTTCAGGGAGTGACAGGAGCTACACACTTTGGGCTGAGATAGAGCTGGGTTCAGTTCCTCTCTCAGTGACTTCCCAGCTCTACCATCCTATCTTTGAGCCTCTGCTGACCCACAGTGCAAATGACACCATCTACTCACAAAATCCTCTCCCCACCCATAGTTCTCTCTCCCTTTAGGGCTGGGGTGAGCGCTGTGCATGTGCTACCCCTGAGATGCATTTCCAGACTCCAATTATTTTCTTTGCATCTGTCTCTCGCTAAGTTGTCTAGGCTGGCCTCAAATTTGTGAGCCTCCTGCCTCAGCCTTCTGGATCAGTATCTGGATAAATAAGCCTCTGCTACCTTGCCGAGCTACAAAATAGAAAAAAATACAGGCAACATGGAAGGGAACTTGAAAAAGATCATACAGCCATCCAAAGCCAAGATTAGGACTGTAGCCAAGACGGGCCCCGACAGCAGGTTCTCAACAGCCGTCCTGTTCCCACGCTTATGAATCTCACAGCCACCTCAAGAAGCTGAAAAACAGGAAATGTTCCCAGTTTTATGGATGAGAAACTAAAAAAGTTGAGGAAGGTAAAGTAATTTGGGTAAAACCGAACAACGATGTTTAGCTTCTAATCTACTTATGCTGTGATCCCAGTTCCCTAAGAGGCCATATCTGATGCAAATTACAGCTCTACCCGGTATCCCGGTGTTACTGGGGAAAGAAATTCATCTCGCTGTGCCTCGGTTTCAGCCTCTGTGATATAGAATAATATTGTTCATATCTCCTAAGACTGTGAGAGATAAAAGAGAAATTTTAAGTGAAGAGAATAAAAAGAGCTTTTTGAAAAAGCAGATTTATTTGTTAGTGGTGGGTGGGGGCACTTAGGTGTGTGCCACAGTGTGGGTGTGGAGGTCAGAGGACCACTTTCAGGAGTCAGTTCTCTCCTTGCATCGTGTGGATCCCAGAGATCAAACTCCAGTCATCAGGCTTGACAGCAAGTTTCCTTACCCTCGGAGCTAGCCTGCTGTCCTCTTCTTTTTGTCCTGTTCTTTAGACAAACCCCCACCGAAGCCAGGCTAGCCTCAATCTCGCTCTGTAGCTGAGGATAGCAACAAGGACCCGTACCTCCTAAGCTACCTCACCTGCCTAAGAGCATGTTTTTTAAAGCTAGCATTGTGTGGCCATTGAGTGCGTAGGTAAATGTCGATAAGTAAGCCTTGAGTGTTTGGAGACACAGAGACCAGGATTCAAAGCCTGCTTCTACTTTTTGGAGCTTTGTGGAAGCTGGGAGTCCCCAGCTTCCTCATCTAATAGATGTAATTAGAATAGCCACACACAGAACTTTGAGAAACCCTCAGCAGAGGGCCTGGCTAAGGTATTTAGTACACAGTAGCTATTAATCATACAAGAAGAAATAATTATAACGTGTCATGCTGGCAATCTAAGAGTAGGAAAGGCCCTGGTGAACAGGCCAGGCTAACGAGTTGGGAAAAACCCTTCTACCCATGGGAGGAAAAAGCCAAAGGGAACCAGAGTTCAAAAGTGGAAAATGGAGCAGCCGTTTATGAGCCCCCAGAGGCAACTTCACCTTGACCCACAAAACCGAAAAGAGGTGTGTCTTCCGGTACAGATAAGAATCCTGAGAACAAAGCATGCTATTAATTAAGTCTGGTCTATTTTAAGTTAATGGGATATTTTCCCCCTTAAGGATAAGCTCACAATAAAAGCTCTAGAGGAAAACACAGAGGGTGGGTGGGGGCCACTTTGCTGGCTGCTTGGTCACCCAAGCAGTCCTCGGCTGCTGAGGTGGGTGGTCTGGTCTCAAAGCCAAGTTTCTTCACCTTGGGCCTCTTGGAAGTCGGATCGAAGAGGGATCAGAGCCACCCAGAGAGGCAGGGAACCTGCCATGGCCACCTCTTAGCCTCAGCTCCCAGTCAGTAGGAAACTCAAGCCATGGGAAACCTGACTGGGTCTCCACCTTCAGGGGAAGGAGGCAGGATTGGCAGGCCTTTGCTCCCCTGCCGAGGATATGACTCACAGCAGGAGCTGGAGCACAGAAAGAGCAAGCTTCTGGGTGGCCTTGGGCAAGTCACTTTCCACGGAGCCTGGTTCTCCTCACCTGAGAAGTCTTTAACCAGACTGCAAAACTTCAGACAACTGCCTTTTTCCCTGGGTTAAGTGACAAAATGCATTGGGACAGCAATGCCAAGGACATTTTTCTTTTTTCTTTTAAGAAAGGATCCCATGTATCCCAAGTTGAGCTCAACTTGTTCTGTAGCTGAGGATAACTGAACTCCGGCTTCTACCTCTTAGGTGCTGCAATTGCAAACATACTCCACCGTGCCCCATTTCCAGAGACCTGGGGATCGATCCCAAGGCTCTGTGAATGCGAGGTAAACACTCTACAGAGCTCCATCCCGAGCACCGAGGGCAATCTTGTTTGTTTTGTTTTGTATATTTTGGCACAGCCTTGCCGTGCAGCCCAGGCAGGCACAGAACTGTGATCCACCTGAATGCTGGAGTTACAGGAGTTCACTTTTATACTTTGCTTTCTGGTCACTTCTAAGGTGACACATGGCACTCCAGTTAGGAGAGGTTAAAGCTGCGCTTTGAGCCGTCCTTCTAAGTCAAGAGGAAGACCCTAGCTCAAAGAAAATTCCAGAGAGAACTGTCTGTGTGAAGGACTTGAGCCACACCCTACACTAAGCACCATGCGTGGACATTTTTTTTTCTTTATTGAGACAGGGTCTCACTATGTAGCCTTAGCTGGCCAGGAACTCACAGAGATCTGCCAGCCTCAACCTCCCTAGTTCTGGGATTAAAGGGGCTCCTTCCTTCCTTCCTTCCTTCCTTCCTTCCTTCCTTCCTTCCTTTTCCTTTCTCCCTTCCTTCCTTCCTTCCTTCCTTCCTTCCTTCCTTCCTTCCTTCCTTCCTTCCTTCCTTTTGTGTATATAAGTATAGGTACATCATGCACGCCTGGTGCCCTCAGAAGTCAGAAGAGAGTGTTGGATCCCCTAGAACTGGAGTTACAGACAGTTGTGAGCCCACATGTAGGTAGGTGCTGGGACCTGAACCTGGGCCCTCTCTAAGAGCAATAAAGGCTCTTAACTGTGGAGTCATCCCTCCAGCCCCTGAAGGAGCTATTTCCTTGTGACCACCGACTGGTTAGGTATTGCTAAGGATAGAGAATGAGGGTAATGGAGGGCATGTTAGTTCCTTTGGCATAGTTGTGACCAGTACCAGACATAGTAACTCCAAGAGGAAAAAGGTTTAGTCTGACTCGGGGTTTCAGAGAGGTCGGTCCATGGTTGCACAGCTCAACAAGCTTGGGAAAAACATCATGGTGTAGGGAACGTGTTGTTGACAGCTTCCTTGCCCTGTGGTGGAAGCAGGAGGCAGAGAAAGAGAAGACAGAACAGGTTACGGCCCCCACTGAACTTCTTCCTGTTGCCCCCAAAGTTCCCAGCACTTCCAGAAGTAGAGCCGCCAGGTAGGACTAGGAGCATTTTATATGTCAGCCAAAACTCAGAACTCTGTCCTCACTCTAGAAGTGATAGTCAGCTGAGAGCAGGAGCAGGTGGCCCACACCTCGACGAGTGAGGGGCACAGTCTGAGTCTACAATCTGAGTCTGCCAGGCACAACAGGACCAGGACCACCTTTCAGGACCAAGAGGCATGGGCAACCACTTCCAGATAATCAAGCCAGATCCCGGATCTGAGCTGAGACTGTTTTGTCAACGGGAGATTCCTGCACAGATGTTAATTCCACTGGGGCTGGAGAGATGGACCGGCAGGGAAGAGCACCGGGAGAGGACCCTTGAGTTTTGGTCCTCATCACCCAGCCAGGTCAGGCAGCTCACAACCAACTGTACCTCCAGCTCCAGGGGGTCTGATGCCCTCTTCTGGACCCTGTGGGCACAGCACTCGCCCATGTACAGACACCCCCACCTGCTCCCCACACACACACATACATATAATTTAAAAAGTTTTTAAATTAGGGCTTGAGAGAGTGATTAAGAGTACTTACTGCTCCTGCAGAGTATCTGAGTTTGGTTCCCAGCAATCACATGGTGGCTCACATCCCTCTATGACTCCAGTCCCAGGGGATCCAACGCCCTCTTCTGGCATCTGATGGTACCAAGCATGCATGTACTGCACATACATGCATACATGCAGGCAAACTCCCATATGCATAAAATAAAATCTTTGGGGGGGGTGTTTAGAGACAGGGTTTCTCTGTGTAGCCCTGGCTGCCTGGAACTCGCTCTGTAGACCAGGCTGACCTCAAACTCACAGATATCCTCCTGCCTCTGCCTCCCGTGTGCAGAGATTAAAGGCATTCGACACCACACCCAGCTCATCTTCTTTTTTTTTTTTTTTACTATGCTCTTTATTTTATAGTTTTTTTGTTTTGTTTGTTCTGAGGGAGTATTTTTTGTTGTTTATTTATTTGGGGGTGTGCCATCTCATACAAGGGGGGCACTAGTCTGAGAACTTTCAGGAGTCATTCCCTCCTTCGACCTCTTGGGTCCCAGGGATTGAACTCAGATCACCAGGCTTTGTGACAAGTGCCCTTTTGTTTATTTGTTTGGTTTTGATGAGCTGGGGTTGGGGGAGCAATCCATGAACCTGTGGCCTCTGTGAATGGTAAGGGAGTGCTCCAACCACTAAGCCATACCCTAGCAGTTTTTTTTTAAATTTTGAAATTACATTTTATTTGTCTGTTTAGAGTGTGTACGTGGTGTGGGGGGTGGTGTGGGTATGTGTGCATGATTGTACAGCGCAGCCTGGCCTCCATTTCACAATCCTCCCCTCTCCATCCCCTGAGTGCTAGGATTATAGGCTTGCCCAGCTCTGCCCAGGTAACACTTGCGGCCCCCACAGGGAGTGCTCTGGGTAGCAGAGGGAACCTTTGCCTAGGGAAATGTGTCTTGGGTCTAGAAGTTATGGAACCCTAATCTTTAAAGCTCCTGTGGGTGGGAGGAGCTAAGATGCAAAGTCGGAGTCCCGGGCATCAGAGGGGACAGGAGCCCCGGCTTGCCTGAGTGAGTACTCACAGGCCTTTCAGCAGGGGCCTGACTGTTTTCTCACATCCCTTTATCACAGCTGTGTCTATGGCTTTAAGAGGCCACACACTAGCTACGGAGGTGCCCTAGCTCCCTGTCTGCTCCTCTTTCTCCTGGGCGGGCTTCTGGAGGGCTCTCCCCGCCAGCCGACAGGGCTGTCTGCAGAGACCCTTTCTCTTCAAATGGAGCTACAAGCTATTACATTTCTGAAAAGCACGGATCTGGAGTCCCTGAGCAGCGCTAAGCCAGTCTAGGAACAAGCAGAGCTGTCGGCCTGCCTGGTGGGGCACGGAGCCAAGGGCTTAGTCTCAGAATTGGATTATTAGAATCTGGAGCTCCCAGCCCTGCTGGCCTCTGGGACATGCGGATTACCCAGGCGTCTGGCTGGGGCCCACAGACCTTCCCACATTTTCTGCCGGGTCTGAGAACAAGTGCCCCTCCCTCCCTCCGCTGTGACACCTGGGGCCACAGAATGCTCCATCTACCTCCCTACTCTCGCCTTTAGACACCCCCCACCACCCCCACCACCCCAGCCTGCCTCAGATGCCTGGAAGCACACCTGCGCACAAGTTTCTGGAACTTACCGTGGAGGAGTTCTGTGGTCCACAGACCGTCAGCCTCAGAATCCTCTGAGATCTTGTTAAGGATGGGAAATCCTGGACCTTCCCCCAAACATGGCACCAGAATCAGAGGTGGGTCCGGATCTGTGATGTAGCGGCGAATCGAATCCTTCAGGTAAGCTGCTGAGGTGGCTCAGTGCATAAGGGCTCCGGCTGACAAGCTCAAGAGCTCTAGTTTAAGGGCCAGGAACCACGTGGTAAAAGAGAACTGACTCCCCAAAGTTGTCCTCTGGCTTTCATACACAGGCCCACACACATACACGCAAAATAAATAAACTAATGTACTTCTTAAAAAATAAAACTTGTGATTTTTTTTTTTTCCAAGACGAGGTTTCTCTACATAGTCCTGGCTGTCCTGGAACTCACTCTGTAGCCCAGGCTGGCCTCAAATTCACAGAGATCCACCTGCCTTTGCCTCCCGAGGGCTGGGATTGAAGGCGTGTGCCTCCACACCTGGCTTGAGGTGATTCTTCAGCATGCTGAAGGAGGGAAACAGAGGCTTGCGGCCGTTAGCTATCCCCTTACGTCCACCCAAGCATGCTCCAAGCTTGCCTGAGAGATTCCAGACCACCTCTACTAACAGATATCTCCTTGGAGGTCCTTCCATCCGCCAGCTCTGGGGCCTGACACAGTGATCTCAGTGGGTCTCTTCCACATCGCCGGGCGACTCGGTTCCACAGCAGTCTGCAAACGATATTCCTAAAGAGGCACAAGCCAAGTCCCCACAGTGTGTGCACTGGCCTTGTTCTTTATTGTCCCCACATCACACCGGAGGAAACGGGCTCTGAGAGGGCACGCGCGACCCAGTGCCACACAGTAAACAAGCCCAAGGCCTGACGGCCACACAGCTGCTGTCCATCTCATCAGTTTTTATCTGGCTATTTGCACACTCTGGGATTTCCTCCAGAGCAAAGCCCTTGACATCACTTCCTAAGGAGAGCATTTCTCGCCTCCCTAGAGCAGGCCAGGCTTCCGTATGCCCTGCCTAGGGTCTGCGTCTGCTTCCTTCATTGCAGGGTCATGCTCTGTAGTCATATATATGAGTGTGTATCCACCACGTCTCTCTCCCTGAGCAGCCTGAAATCGCCCGGAAGTCAGGAGGTGCTGCTGCTCTACTCGGTGCATTCCCTGTACTCATCCTCCCTCTCCTTACATAACCACGTCTCTCCTGTCCCCTGTGTCAAAAGGGAATGGGGCGGGGGGGGGGGGGGGGGGGGGGGCTGGAGATCTGGCTCTGTTGGCAGAATGCTTGCTTTGCATGCGTGAAGCCCTGGGTTTGATCCTCAGTCCTGCATAAACCAGGGGCCATAATGTGCTCCAGTGACACCAGCACTCCTGAGGTCAGGGGTGAAGGATCAAAGCCAAGGCCAGAGCTGGAGAGATGGCTCAGAGGTTAAGAGCACCTGGGTTCCATTCTCAGCACCCACAGGGCAGCTTATAATTGTCTGGTAACCCCAGTTCCAGGGCATCCGACCCCCTCTTCTGGTTCTGTGGGCACCAGGAACTCACACAGTGTACAGGTGTACATGCTGGCCAAGCACTTGTACTCGTAACAAATAAAACAATTTTTCTAAAAAAAAATTCAAGCTTATTCTTGGCTTAGTAAAAGGTCAACCAGACTCTGTCAAGAAACAAAGAACCAGGTCTTATTTGGGGCAGCTGCCCAGCTAACCATATCGGTCTCTCTTAGAATCTCGGGCAAATCTCTGCGAGTTTGAGGCCAGCCTGGTCCAGAGTTCCAGGACATCCAGGGCTGTTAAACAGAGAAACCTTGTCTTGAAAAATGCCACATTCTGGCCTATGTCATAGATGAGAATGGAAATTGCTGGGTACAGAACAGTTACTCAGTCAGCGTATGTGGCGGGCAAGAAATTCCATCCAATACTGGACGTGCTGGGGGTTCTGGGGAAAGGTGAATATCCATCCATCCTCTAACCAGGCCCAAAGCAAAGAACACCTTGGCTGTCATTCGCGTTTTTTATTGGTTCTGAGATCAAAGGGCTAGGCGAGCTGGGACGGGCGTAGAGCTCAGGAGGGCGCTGAAAGGCTCTGCCCCCGGGGCAGACATGCTGTGTGGGGTCTGCTGGTGGGCTCCCTGGCCCACCCAGCCAGCAGCGGCTGGGCACATGGCACTTGGCGCCTTGCATGTCCTCTACCGGCTTTTGGCACTGCGGCCTCCTCGCCGGCGGGCGCCCCCCTTTTTCCAGTTGCAGGAGTTGTGAGTCTTTCACAGTGCGGAGGGGTGGGGGTCCGGGGTGGGCACCTCCCCGGGGTGCAGGCAGGCCCCATCCGCCAGATGCATCCTGGGCTCTCGGCATCTACCGCGGAGTGAGGCGAGCTCGGCTCTTCTCCCCGCCGGTGGGAGTTGGCAGTCCTGGAGAAGCCCTGGTGGCCTCAGCGGGACATCATCCGGACAAACTCTGGGAAGGGCACAGGAGCGGGTGGAGACAGAGGCAGTCAGGAGCCAGCACAGAACACTGCCGCCAAGGCCCCTCCTCATCGCCCCTGCTCCGAGGCTGCGCTGTCCCCCGCCCACCTCCACCCTGCGTCTTGGTGAGGCAGCTCTGGGAAGGGCTACAAAGGCCAGAAAAGAGGAGGTTCAGTCTGCAGAAGAGGGAAGAGGTGTTCTGGGAAGAACTCCTCCTACTGGGTCTGGGAAAAGGAATAGTGTTTCACTCAAGGGCGGGTAAGATGGCTTAGGAGGTAAAGGTGCTTGCTGCCAAGCCTGAAGACCTGAGTTTGATCCCCAGGACCCACTTGATGGAAGAGAAAAATACAAAAACAAAAACAAACAAAACCCCAAAAAACAACTCCTGCAGGTTATCCTCTGACCTCCATATTCACGCCATGGAAAACACACACACACACACACACACACACACACACACACACACACACACACTTTCTAGATAGATAGATAGATAGATGATAGATAGATAGATAGATAGATAGATAGATAGATAGATAGATAGATGCAATTAAAACAATTTACCCCAAGTGGAAAATAAAACGAAAGGGACCTGGCACAAAAAACAGCGTATTCACGGGGCGGCCTCACAGGTTCACATATCTCGAGTATTTCGGAGTGAAGGAATGGTAGATGCTATGGCTGGGCTAGTGAGCTGTCGTCAGATGTCAAGGGCCTGAGGTCAGGCCAAGGAGTGTGGTCCTCAGAAAAGAGCATGAGTGGGGAACAGACAGATGGGGCAGACGGACACAAGGATGGATACATACATGTATGAACAGATGGGTATAAAATGGATAGGGAAATGTCTGAACAGAGAGATCGATGGAATTATGGGTAGAAATACCGGCAGCAGACAAAGTACAGAGGTATCGGGGCACAGAGAGATGTGGGCAGGGAAAAGATACTGAGATGTGTGCGAGGATGGATGGATGGATAGCGGAATGAAGGGATGCATGAATGGATGGATAAATGCATGGATCAATGGTTGTGTGGGCGGCTTTGAGAGATGATGAAAAACCGAACAGATATCTGGACAGAAGCAATGGAAGGGTGATGGCCAAGTAGATGGCTGTACCGATGGGGGTGGGGGTGGGAGGTGGACCAGCGTACGCACAGGTAACATGGAAGAAACGCGAGGACGAAGGGTGAGAGCTTGCGTTGGATTGGTGACGGCATGGGGCATGCGCAGTCAGGGGGCTCCCCGGCTGGCTTGTTTCTCACCCATGTTTAAGCCCCGCCTACCTTCAAAGTCCACTCGTCCATCTCCATTGAGGTCCACATCTCGGATAATCTCCTCTATGTCTCGGTGACCCACCTGATGGCCCAGGAGCTTCCTCATGGCCTCTCGAAGCTCACTGGTGCTTATTTCCCCATCACCGTTGGTATCAAACTGGAGAGGGTGAAGGGAGGGGAGAGCGGCATGGATGGAGGGCAGACCTCAAGAGTGAGCAGTGCCCCCCATCCTAGGGTTCCTTTGCTAGCCCAGTTCCCTCCCGTGGCCGGGGACCCAGGGACTTAGAACTCTTCATGGTCATCCTGAGACTGGGATTCCGCCTGCCCACCCCTGCCTGTCGCCAGCTGCCACTCACCTCCCGAAAGGCATCTCTCAGTTCCTTTACACCAATCATATCTGCTGTCTCCGCCAGGAGCTTAGGTCCCATTAGTTCCACAAAGTCATCAAAATCCACATGGCCACCCACTGGAGCAAAAAGAAGGGAGTAGGTCATCCTCAACCCCCCCCCTCCACTGCCCATCTCTCTCCAAGCAACCTCCTTGGTCTCCCCTGTAGGAAGATTTCTTTGGTCCTGCCTGGGCCCTGCAGTTGGGACAAATCTATTACCCACGGTCCCACAGCCTTTTACAAAATAATCACAGAGGCTTAATATTATTTATAACTGCTCGGCCATTAGCTCAGGCTTATTACTGACTAGCTCTTACACTTAATTTAACCCATAATTCTTACCTATGTTTAGCCACGTGGCTTGTTACCTTTTCTCAGTTCTGCCTTCACATCTTGCTTCCTCTGTGTCTGGCTGGAGACTCCTGATTCAGCCTTCCTCTTCCCAGAATTCTCCTTGTCTGCTCTCCCCACCTATACTTCCTGCCTGGCGACTGGCCCATCGGCGTTTTATTAAGCCAGTGTACAAGGGCATTATCCCCCAGCACTCCACCATCTCCAGGCCCGGGAGGTGATTGAGGATAGTGAGGACGGACCCCAGACAGGTGGCTCGTCAAAGAATGACTGGAGGAGTGGCCAGGGAAAGGGAACAGTCACAACGTGGATAAAAAGGAAACAGGGATAGGAGGAAGAAGCATTGGGCCACAGAGCTGGGTGAAGAATTTCAGAGATGGAGAAGAAGCCAAGACGCTCTCGGAGGAAGGCTAAAAGAGCCTTACTTTACTTTAGCTGTGCAAATACAAACTCAACTTCCAAGGAACTCTCAGGAGGTGGAAGGAGACAGGGCTGCTGTAGAGGACTTTCAACAGGGACCAAATGCAGCATGAGGAAGAAATATGGAGCTGGAGGGATTGAGGGCTGGGGGGACTCCAGCATAGCATTTATTTGTGTATGTGTACCTGTGCCTATTGTATGCAGGTGTATGTCCGTCTATAAAGGCCAGAGGTCAATGTCGGATATGTTCCTCCATTGTTCCTACCATATATATATATATATATCGAGACAGGGATTCTCTGTGTAGTTTTGGTGCCTGTCCTGGATCTCTCTCTGTAGACCAGGCTCTTTGAACTCAGAGATCCGCCTGGCTCTGCCTCCTGAGTGCTGGGATTAAAGGCGTGTGCCACCCACCGCCGCCTAGCTCCTACCTTATTTTTTTGAAGCAGGGTTTCTCACTAACTCGTAGCTCACTGATTCAACTACAGTACTAGACCAGCAAGGCCCAACTAGCTCTACCTCTCCAGTGCCAGAGTGATAGGTACATACTGCCTCTCTGGCTTTCTCCCCGGGGCCGGCCATGTCAGAGGAGCAGCAGATGGCAGTCGACTTCAGGTTGTCACCCCGCCAGGAGGCGACTCCCTGATGGGTGAATCATGGATAGGCAAGGCCCCAGACTCCAGAGTGCTTTTGCTTCTGCTGTGCCTTCACATGTTTGCTGCTGTTATCTTTCTCTGGTATCTGGCATGGTGTGAATGGGTGTGGGGAGACCCCCACTGCCTGTAATGTAGTGTGTTTATCTCATGGAAACATCTCACCCTACTGGGCATTTTTACCTGTGGCTTATTATGAAGATGATTTCTTCTTAAGCTGTACTGTCTAACTGATAATAATAATGTTAGTTTAAATAGAGCTTTGATGATTGAAAATAAAACAAGGAAGTGTCACACTGCTACAACACATGAGTTTCTATTGAGGAGCCATATAGACTGTGGCTTAGGTTAATGATTAAGAAAAACAATTGAGGCCCGGCGGTGGTGGCTCACGCCTTTAATCCCGGCACTCGGGAAGCAGAGGCAGGCGGATCTCTGTGAGTTCGAGGCCAGCCTGGTCTCCAAAGCGAGTTCCAGGAAAGGCGCAAAGCTACACAGAGAAACCCTGTCTCGAAAAAAACCAAAAAAAAAAAAGAAAAACTTTTTTGGGGTACATAAGCTGTAGATAAAAAATATATAGTAGAAGAATAGAGAAGAATAAAGAAGGAAATCATCAAGAGAGTGTGTGCTGTCTTTTCCCTAACTCCCTCAGATAAAGAAGTCATA